GGGGCGGGGAGGCGGCCGCCGCCTTAAGTAGGGGCCGGGCGGCTGACGTGAGGCGGGCGGGCCGCGGCTGTGGAGACGTGCCCGCCGACACGTCGGGGTGGAGAGGAGGGGAAAGTTGTACCGGGCCGGCACGGGAGTAGGGAAGGGCGAAGGGGATGAGGGGAGGTGGACCGGAACGGGTCGGCACCGTGAGTGAAGCTGCGGCTCCTCCTGACCAGCACAATCCCTTCGAGCCTATGGCCGCCGGTCGGGATGGAGCCGCTCGGCTGGTGGCTGGAAACCTGCTTCTAATTTCCATCTCCATCTATAGATCTTCAGCGGTTTTGTTACAGACTACCTTCCCAGGCTTTTTTTTCCTTCCCCGTTCCCTGTATTTCCATACGCAATTCCCCCTCGCTTTGTTATGTTAAATTACATAAGCTCAACCTTCCCAGCCTTGCATGATGCAAGCTCCCCTCTGGCCTTGGGGAGGTCTGTCCTGTGGGACAGACTCGAAGTTTGAATGCTTTTCTTTTGAGAGAGGCTGCCACGTGGAGTGTTTTAGTCTTCTCAGCGATGCTTCAACCACCAACACTAATGTTTCCCTGTCATTGCTGGAAATACCATGACTGGACTCATCTTTTTCACAGTCACACCACACCGTCAGCTCCCTATCACCCTGTGGTTTGTTAGTAAAGTCAAATCATCCTCCTCATCATTTATTTCTTGCTAGGATACCAACAAAAAACACTTCCTGGATTCTCAAAGTTTCAATTTTATATTATGTTGTTGCACAAAACTGGCTTTTAGTAAACCCATGCTACCTTTTATCTCTTTATTCACTAAATTTCATGTTTGTAGTAAAATTTTATTCACAAGTTTTCCTGAAGAACTGCACAAACCTCAAAAGCACAGGCCCAAACTGCTTCCACCATGGCTCACTTAAATACTTTATGTTCTCTGGTCCTTTGTTAATGCCTCCAAGTCAGTTAATTTACTTAAAATATTTGCACCTGGATTTGTGTTTTACTGTGCCTTGGGATTCTGGGATTGAAAATGTCTGGCTCCGCCGGTTGGAGCACACTAGTCTCTCTGAGTTTTGCATGCCAGCTGGCAGTGTTCATTTATTCTCTTGTAGCCATTTCTCCCTTCTGCCCCTCCTCTTAGGCATCCTGTCTTCACCCCGTGGATTAGCATGTTCATTCTTAATGAAAAACAGGGAAGCATTCACTTAATCTCGTGTGAGTAGCTGAGTTACCTTTATTTTCCCATTCTTGTTTTACAGTGACCTCTTCTCTCCCTCTCCTCTCTACCTTTGTGATGTTTATCTTAGTTTCCTTTGAGATTCTAACTCTAGCTGATTTTTGGTAATATCTATTCACGGCTTCTAGGATGTACTTGACTTCCTTTTTGAGGTGCTTATGTTGCTATGGCAGAAGGCCTTACTAATTAATGCTTTACAACCGAAGGAATTTTCTGCTTCTTTTCCAGGCACTCTTAACACCTTGTTAGAGACCATCCCAGTGACAGTTCCCTTCTGCTGTGGCAATCTAACAGGAATGATAGTCCAAAGCCTCAGCATTTCTTTGACAGTTCATTGGAAAAACAAAAGAAACAAAAAACACAGATAGGAAACATCTAAAAAATCCTTCAAACATAGATTAAGGAAATTTGCATGAAGCAAGGCTGAAAAATACAAAATTTTGGTTCTTATTATAAAGACTGGTACTTCTGTCAGAGGAGATTAAATACAATGACCTATCTGTTGCAAAACTACATGTGCTTTGCTCCTTACTGCTGCTTGAGGAATGAGTGATGCTTGTGAGATGTGTCGTGTCAGAGGAGACGGGGGAGCTAAGGAAGGGGAAGTGCGGGTAGATGCTGAGTAGGCCTAATGCTGCATGAATGCATAATAAAAGGAAACCGTATAATGTAGTTCTGTCGTTCTGCATTATGCTGCGTTCACTGAGCATCTTGTTCTACCAGAAGTCTCAAGGATGGATTAGGAAGTTTAGTTCTGCATCCCAGGAATCTGTATTTACAATGGCTTTATGTGAATGGGACTAAACATCTCATCCAGAGTTTGGGTTCCAGACATCTGGCAGGACAGAAAATGAACATTTAACAGGAATGAAGACAAAGAAGAAATATTTTCTCTCTGTAAAAATTTTTAATTCTGAAGAATTTAAATGTAAGATAAGAGGCTTTGAAGACAAGACTGGCTGTATAGATTAATGAGCATTTTAAAAATATGTAACTAATGTAGAGCAAGTGGTATTTTTCTACTGTCACAGTGAGACCAAGATTGCTAAGAGAATAATGTTGATATTTTCAGATTGTTCTTATCCTGTGGCGCAGAAAAAATAAAATTGGACATGATTTTCAGGGTATAAGTTCCAATAAAGTCTGTGCTCCCTTGTGGTTTTGTCACTCATTACTGAGAACAGAACCAAGACCAAATTCTGTTATTTATAACAGAAGGCATCAGGTTGTCCTTAGCTGTCTGGTGCCTATTTAGTTAGCAGAGGTCCTATCTTTAGTAGAGTAGGCTAAAACAAGCTAACTAGAATGTTTCTAAACCATCCTGGCCCCAGCATGTCCTTGACGATGATAAGCAGATCAGAAGCCTTGTTTTGATAAAAAATAGTGTCAGACTTTAATAAGCCAGTGTTAATTCACCTGGGTTACAAAACTGAGAAGAAGGCTGCGACTGCCAAATTTTTCCTTTTATGTGTCCTTTGTGATCTTAGCAGCAGCAGTAGATGCTCAGGAGGAAAGCAGTCATCTGGCATGACTGGCGTTGATTTTCTGCCTCGGAGAGCTTCAATCAGGGAAGGCTCAGAAGAACACAAACAGAATGGGGTGAGCAAATTAGGGCATTTTTCTTGCATTTGGAAGATGGAGGCCAGCTCTGGATTTCCTTTAAGTGATTGGCTTTGATTGTAGGGATGGGCCTGACTTTCCTCACTTGTATACACCAGGAGTTTTATTCTTCCTGTTCTTTTTCCACTGCTGCCTTTCATTGCAGTAGCGGGAGGTGGGGTTGATAGAGTGATGGGAATGTTTGAAATGTGACAGGGTCTCTCCAGGGAAGCTTGACCCTTCCTCAGCCTGCTTGCCCTTTTTTCCATATTAGCTTTCACAAATTAAACATGAAAAACAAAGCAATAGGAATTGCTGAATGTGGAAATATTTATATTTTTATTCTAGGAGTTGCAAGCGGAGCATTTCCACTGGCTTCAGGAGGCATTTGGTCAGCCTTTGATTGATAACAAACAATGCCACATTCTTACTACATAGTGTGTTTATCTTTAAACTATGATATACCGGTTAAACCTTTATCACAAAAATAAAGCCCAGAGACAGTTATACAAGGTGAGTTCAATGTGTGCATCTGGCTACTTTCCATAAAATACAAAGTGTTAGTAAATTTCTCTCCATTTTGCTACTATGCAAGAGGTTTTACATGGTGATATTTAATTTCTACAGTTGCAGTTTGCTGAGGTCCTGGCTCTTGACAGACTAAGTCAAATCTGATGTTGCTGCTGGCATGAATAATGATACCAAACCATGACCTGCACATATTTGCAGTATGAGCTACAGCTCAGCTAGGAGGTTAGC